TCTGCCCCATTACTTCCACTTCTTCCGTTGGCACATTTACATTCGTTTCATTTTCCAACCGCTTTTCGGGTAAGGCTAATATACTCTCTTTCGTATTCTGGCGACTTTTCCCGGTGGTGTTAAGTGTCGTCTTCTTCCTCTTATTCCTTTTTTCATCGGAAGCCACGACTTGATTATTAATAGTAGTTGTCTTATTCACCCCATAATTGCTTTCTGGGGATTCCTTACGCTGGATGGCTCTCGCTCTACTCCGAGTTAGCCTCTGCGTAGATAACACCGGGCGGTCCTCTGAAGGAACATTCTTGTGTATAAGTTCCTTCAGATTTCTTACTTCTTCCTCTAGTTGATGCATCTTGTAGGCTATAGTTTGACAACCATTACATGAATATCCTACCAGATCCTGCGGTGACGAATTAACAAAGCTTTTAACTGAGCTGTCCAGTCGTGCGTCGGTGGTGTAGGGGTTAGCGGAGCGAGCCCTAAGTTTCGAGGTCCCCGGTTCAAATCCCAAGTGCGCGTTACTTTGGAACACTAGTGCAGACTCCAACATTCTGGATAACTTTTCTATATACACAAAGAGCGTACACTTAAGTATGAAGGAAAAGCCTTTATGACGATCTTTCGGTAGATAGTAACTTCATTAGCTGAATGGGAAGGTATGGTCGAGAAGCTTCCGAGAGCAAAAATTTAGAAAAATACTTTGAGGCGATAATGAAACAATGTCTAATAGCAGAAAAGCGACTCAGCCTTTGTAGAAACTTTGGATAAATTGTTCTTCAGATAATCCGACTTTCTGGGCTTGCAAGTATGAGAAACGAGGAAGGCCGAAATCGGAGTTCTGGGAATGTGCTGCAGGGGACTAGTTGGGAGGAAGATATTGATGAGTCGAATTCAAGTCTAAATTCCGGCAAGCTCTAAGAGCGTACAGTAAGTCCAAATCTCGAAGTAACTAAATTCCTCGGAGAGCGAACATTTGAAACCGAATTCCAGAGGCAAATATAACAGGAAGCTAAAAAAAGTGAGCGCTTATATGTTGAGGAAGCGGGAGGAAGTATAATCAGGGAAGAATTGCGAAGATAGGATGGGCGACTACAGGGGGTGAGTGTTGAAATTCGGGGATACCCCATTAGAAATTTAAATTTTTCGATTTTTCAGTTTATGCATTGTGACCTTCACAGAATGCGATACTCTTCCTGACAAATTCTCGACCGGTGCCAAATAAGCGGCCACAGGTCTTCCATTACGGCTACCTTACGTACTATTGTTTGTTCAGTAGGTGTGCTTGTGGTATTTTTTTTTTGCCGCCGCGGCAAAAAAAAAATACCCCAAGCACACCTACTGAACAAACAATAGTACGTAAGGTAGCCGTAATGGAAGACCTGTGGCCTCCATGGCTAGAAGGAAACATTCAAACACACCTAGCAACCCGCCTCCGTAGGGTTTACGTGGAGTTCCCATTCCCTGTTGC